TACATTAAATGTTGAAAAAAAGAAAACATGGCATCATTTGCTTTTGGCCCCTTGACTATTTGCTTGTGAATACACTTTAATTGCACATGCACTCAGTGACCCTCAAAAACTGGGTTGACTATGAAGTGGGTGACTTTACAGATGGCACTGCATTGCCAAGCCTGCTTTTCGCTGCAGTGTGTGCATATCCCCCATAAACACTGCAGAAAGTGAACGGCTGCATTTTGAATTACACCGCTTCGTTCGAGCCCTGCAAGCTGAACGAGCAAGTGCTTTGTGTAGCCAGTGGATTCTGAGGAGGAGTATTTACTCCATTCAAATAGTACTCAGTTACATTTTTCTTAATTGCAATACATCTCTTAATAAATGCAAACTGGCATCTATATGTATTCAATACATATATGTATTCCATACATATAGAGGGCAAACAACAAGCTTATGTACACCAAAATCATAGGCTACACCCTAAAAGGAAAACCATCTCATCTGTCATTAATTTACAGGGAGTTTGCTAGTTTACAGGGAGTTCTCAAAATACTAGAGTCTTTATGATAAATTCTCCTGTTATTCCTATAGATCATTCTTCCTTTGCCAATTAGACAACATCTCATATTTCAAGGTTATCTAAATCTCCAGTGCATTTTTGCACTCTAGCTTCATTCCATTTGAAAGCAAAAAGGTTTAATCGCTGTTATTAGAAACAACCTGAACTGTAGCTTTGAGTTAGCAGCCAAATTGAAGAGCTATTCATTCTGATACCTAGTTGTATCTATTTATATACTAATACAATCAATCGACTCTTGAGAAGTGGTGAATGAGCAAATTCTTGGGACTAGGGCTGGGCCACCCCCAGAGCACTTCCTCAGGGAATGCAACGTAATTAAAGGGAAGCATCATGTATTCAATTCGAGCCAACGATTTCTGCTGCTACAAAAACCCAGCAACACTAGGGTCTTCACACCATCTATTCCCCGGTCCTGTGGAAAGGGGTTTCTTTCCACTGGAATCCTAATCAACCCAGGTATTTAGATCCCTCTGCCTAGTAAAAGGACATCTGTGTGCTGTGACATGGGACTTGGGAAAGGAAATGAAAAATGCAGAGAGAAAACGGCGTCTGAAGGAGAGATCGAGAAAACCCCACCAAATTTAAGGAAACAAGCAAAGTTCTCTGGTTGCCTGTTCAGATCCCCAGGCCCTTTTAACGTTATTTGGAATAACATGCTAAAAATCAAATACCCTCTACTGTTAACCTGGTAAAGATTTCAAAAGGGCTTCTCCCCCTTATGTTACCATTACCACTCAAAGTGTATAAGATTTGGTATGGAGACAGATAGTTACTCACATGTTTGTCAGAACTACCCCAGAGCTACAGGGAGGAATAGAAATAGGGATGGGAAACAATGATGATTTAACAGGATCTAAAAATCATGATTTAACTAACAGAAGCACTCCCAAGTCTCAAATCTAGCAATGCTAATTCCCCAGAGCTCAGCTCCCTGCAGCCCTTTTCCTTGCCAGCCTTCTAATGATGCAACAAACCGTGTCTTTCCCCCACACCATGAGCCTCCAACTCTTCTAAGATCAAGCAGTGGTAAAATAGGTCCTTTTCCTTGGGAACATTTTTAGATGGCTTTAAAGAAACCCTTCACCTAGCCCTGAAATGGTGCACATGAAAATGGAAAACAGGCAAAGGAGTGTCCTCTTTCTGAAGGGAGTAAGCCACAAAGGGACACCAAAGCTTTTGGGAAAGACTTCTTCAAAAGACCACTGCCACAGTCACCCTGCAGGGGACTGAATGGCAAGGACTCTGAATATTCACCTCCTGACAGGTGGGAGTTTATTAAATGCCGCAGATTATTGCACAGGCATAATCTTAAGAATCAGGTCAAATGTCAGATCTCTGCACCTCCAAGAAACTGCAAGTCTTCTGTAGGCAAATTACAGGCTGAAGATCAACCCTTAATGCTTGTATGAGCTTATGTAAGTCAGCGGGGAAAACAAAAGCATGGTAAGAATTGCGTGCAAAGGCATGCACTGGTCATGCAACTGAAATTAATCATAAGCATTGTAACATATCAAATGTATGGCCCAGGACGGGAGAAAAGCAATTTGGCTATTTTTCTACAGGCTTATTAGAACCAGAGCCCAATTTCTAGTAGCTGTTACAAAGCCAGCCTGGAATCCACGAGTGCATATCTATTTTTTGACTCATGAGAGCAAAAAAAGGAAGATTATAATAATTTTTTCCTCTAATGCACGCTGCCCAATATTCCATAAAGATGATCAGATCTGTACGGTGGATGCTGCCTACAGTAGTGTATTGCTACTAAGAACGATCTCAGTATTTGTCCAGTTTTCCTTACAGAATTACCTTCAGCTCTTTTCAACTGACAGCAATTTCTGCCACACTTAGCTGTGACATCAGTTTTCAAATCTGATTATCTAGATAAGCTAATCTCCTAAAAATGCAGGATAGCATTCTGGCATAAAAGAAATTAAGGTGCATCGCATACTGCATTAATATCACACCCAGGAGATAAAGCAGATCTCTGCTCTGCTTGACTTTTATGAACCAATGGGGTATAAACATGTGGCTACACCACTAACACAGAAGCAAAATAAAATGGCAATTACAAAGCAAGATAACAATATTGAAGTTGAACAGTCACTGTGTCTTAATTGGATAGAAAGAAGTGCTTATTAGCAAAAGATTTTTTTCCATCAGAGTACCCTGGTTCTGAAGGCAGCCATGAATTAACTGAAAAATGTAGGCACGAATTGATTATTTTCGAATTTTTTCTGAGTATTTTTAGTTGATCAAGATCAGTAAACTACGCCATATTCTAAAAATGGCTCACGGCTGGCTGCTACCAGCAACAGGACTCTAGCCACTGCAGAGGTTTGTGAACAGCTCCACTGTTAGTTTGACTAACGCTGTGATGAAAGGAATATCTAACACCTCTTCTGAGCCCCCTGAGAAACTGGTCAGATAAAACCCCAGCATTATTGAGTTAATGAATCAGATCAGAGAAAGGACAGGTTTCAAAAACATTTAGCTACCAAAAAAAAAAAAAGTTTAGGAGGGCAGGGGAGAGGGAAGATAAAAAGATCCCAAAGTTTAAACTCTGCAGATGGACCTTCCCTCCCTGTGCTCCAAGATCCACCATGTTTGACCACTGACATCATCAACACACAGGCAGCTCCCCATGAAACTCCTATGAATTTCCTTCTCCCAGGCCCTCTCCTCTTTAGCTTGTAGCAAATGACTGTGGCTTTCACCATCATTTTCAAGTCAAATGAAGAGAGATTACCATTCTCACATGAATACTTCCAAAACAAAATTCCTAGCAAACACAGCATAGAGTAACACATTACAACTGTAGAGAAACTTTCAGGACTGTTTTGCAAATATAATTGAAGAGTATTCTTTCTGAAATACATTTATTATCTATAAGACAGTATTTTTAAGATCTTTTAAAATACATCCATTCCCTTTCAACCCTTCAATTTTTTTTAAAATAATAAGAAAATAAGAAAAAAGAAAGAAACTCAAAACGCATCTCTGAGGAGATGGTGAAAGGTAATGAATACAACCTCCCAAGCACACAAACATCATTCCAGACAGCCAACCACTCATAACATTGAAGAATTACTCCTGTTATGTTAAATAAGCCATTAGTCTGGAAAACAGGACTGATAGGTCACTTGCACTGAATTACTCTGGGTAATTTATTCCATACCTGCACTGGTGAGTAACTATGAAGTGCATTTGAGAGCCAGAGAAATGGAGCTGGTTGAACAGTAATTTAACAGAAAAATCAAGAACAAGACTACACTATTTTAAAGTTAGCCGTGTAAGTTTAGTTTAACTGTTTGTAAAACTGTTATAGCAAAAAAGGAGCATCAAGCGCTCGTACTTACCAGTGAATCAGGAAGATGCTCCTCCTCTTGAGAAAAAGAGCTATTGAAAGCTCTAAATGTCTCACTGTTTTGTTTGTGCTTTTCAATTGTTGCTTGAATGACCTGAGACAAAAATTCCAGCAAAGATGAGAAGCGTCACAAAAGAAGCCCTGGAAAAATTCTCTCATAGGAAGGTGGTAAGGATTATCAATTTAGTGAAAAGCTCTTACACTTGCATAAATGAAATGGAAACTTAAAAACGTTAATAACTACAAGTGTTGCTGCAAACTCATTACTGTTTAAGTCAAAAACTAAGACTCCTCTCAGGCAGTGTCTCCTATGAGTGAGACTGCAAGAATACACATTGCTACTCTCTGATGTCTGTCTCTTCTCTCACTGGGCTTGAGGACTGCAGGGAATGGGCACACATTTGCAGCCCCCGTACGCTGCGTGGAGACAGGGGGTCAGCAGTGGGACCCCGACTGCAGCTCCACGTTTCTCCATAAGCAGCTTTGCCAGCCCAGCCCACCCAGCTTCCTCGCAGTGTTCATTCAGAACCCCAAAAAGATAATTTTAAAAACAAAAGGTGCTGTCTGCATGGTGATTTCCACCCATATCATAATGGGTCTGTATTAACCTGAATCCATTCCCTCTTCTCCTCTTCTGTCCTGTTAAAACAAAAGAAAAATACAGAAAACATCATCATTCTACTTCCAATATTTTCAGTAAATTCAATTCACATCTTTGCAGCTTTATATCCATCAAGATTTTAGCTTTGCTACTGGTTATTTTATAAACATTATTAATAATTATTGTCCTCAATGATTACCAAACAAATGGAAAAATATTTGAATTATTAACACAGTGGAACCTGCAAGCACTACTATAAACAGCATAAGCGTTCAATGAAGCAAATCAACACAGCACTTCAACGTTCCCTGACTTAGGACCAAAATATGCTCTTGCATATGTAAGTTAGGCATCTCTGATGCTCATCTCCTCGTTTAAAGTTATGTCATACTAGCATAGCCATCTCTTGCACAAATTTCTACATAAACATTCACAAACCTCAAAAGACAGAACAAGCATCATACCTGGCTTGTAGTTCCAGTGATCTCTTTTTTCCTGTTATTGAAAATGTATGAGCCACGTTTTGCTTGGCAATTTCTTGGACCTGTAAAAAGAACACGTCAGCTTCTTACTACTCTCCTGTTGTCTTTCAATCATTTTTAATGACTTATAAATATATTCATTCTTTGAAATACTTAGTTTAAAGGATCACTGAGAACACAGTACAGAGGTAGAAAAAAGCCAAAGGATTGCTTCCATAATTACTTGTCTTGCTACAAAACTTCCAAAGGTGTATCTCACCAACCAGTCCATTACAGTAGTAGGGGGAAAATGTAGCTCCTGTGGGAAGGCTTTCAATCAAAGCACGTACAGTGTCACCATTTTCTTACCTATCTTCAGATGATTACCCCATAAATAATTAAAAAAAAAAAAAAAAGATCCAAAGCTAGATGTTAGAATTTTATTACATTTCTACGTACATATATTGTTGTATTTTTTGATTCAGAAGGGATCTGATGCTATCGAGTGGGGAAGCATCAAAACGGGGGAAAAGAAGAAATGCAAACCTGCAGTCCTGCAATGTCCATCTTCTCTCGAACACTGAACTTCTGGCCTATCAGACGCAATTTTGGCACACAGTATAGCACCATACTGTTAAACTGTAACAAGGGAAGACTCTAAGTTAAGAGATTACATGCTGGACAGAGCCTGCACTTTGACAGGACTCTGGTGTGTTTTACTCTAAGATGCAGTTCTCAAGAAGAGATTTAAGGAGCGAGCTAGGCTCCCACAACATTACTTGAAAGTAGTGGACAGACAGAAACACGTCAGGCAGTCACTTTCCCCTTCTCCTCTCTCTGGTACCAATTTGACCACCTTGAAAGCAAACGAGAGCTATTCGCTCACTGTCAGTGAGAGCAGCAGCAACGTGATACAGCTGGAAAGGCACCTCCTCTAGCGCTTTGGAAAAATGTGGCCTCCAGGGAGGGAGACATGAAAGACCCCTTTGGGCCTGAAAAGCCATGGGCAAAGGCACAAGTGTGGAAGAAGGAAGGAAATCCTCAAGGAAAAAGCATCAAGAGAAAACTGCTGCTCAGAGGAAGGAGTAGCTGGGCTCAGCTGGTGAATGCTTTTTGTATTTTAGATTAGGAAGATGGAAATGTACCATTTCACAGCACAACTCTGAAAATAAGACCGCAACAAAAAACTCACCAGGAATAAATACCTATCCTGCGCTGTGCCGTTCTTTGCTGAAAGCTTCTGAATGTGTCCTTCTTTAATGAGCTCATTGGCTGGGTTAACAATGTCCTCTTCACCACCGAGTCGCTCATACACTTCCAAAAGCTTGTGCATCTTTTCCTGCAAGTACAAAAAAGCCACCAATTTAAATAATAATAAAAAAAACCCTATTCCACTTGGTCTGTTATCCACAGTATCATTTCTGAGGTAAGTGTAAATAAGTAGGAAAGAAAATAGTCTTTCATTTCTGCTATAGCTTTGCATTTTCAAAAATTAATGAATACCTGTTCCATACTCTTCAGTACTCTTCCCCACTCTGTATTAGTCACTCATTAGTCATACTTGGACTGCATCATTTTAATGACATTTTGAGATCAATCTATTTGATATTTTTAGATATTCCGGTTCAACAATAAACACTATCTTTGGAAGCAATGGCATCGGGTCCTGTAAAATCAATGGCCACGTTGGAGACTAGTATGTTACCAAACTGTTTCCAAGTTTGAACTTATTAACTCAGCTTCCACCCCACACCTCGGACTAAGATTTCTGCTACAGTATGCTTGTTTCTCAGCTTCTGAGACATTTTACCCCTTGTACTGTTGCTGATACAACGGCAGGTAGGCCTCCATCAGGAACCATGGAAATATACTGCATTTCTAAGCTAAGTCTAAAACCTCAGCTGTATGTGGAATGCTGTGGACCTATGCAGGGGCCTCCATAGCAAAAAGTACCTCTGAAGTAGGCCAGGACAAAATGCTTAAAATACAGTTTTAATGTCATTCAGGCATCCTTATGTCTCGGTCAAAATTCTTTATGAAGGGATTGATTACTTTTTTCCTTTTCATCAAAGCACTGTTTCTACTTCCTATTAAGTCATCCAAATATTCAAAGTCCCTCTACACAGTATTCAAATGGATAAAGGTACCTAGTTCCGCCACTTGCAGCTGCTATATTAGGCACTGCAGCAGCTTTAACAAGTCAAAATAAGTAAGATGTGTAATCCTGCTGCTGAGTTACAGCATTTGGAAGGGTTTGGCTTTCAACCACAAGCTGGACTGATGTGCTCAGAATGGCACTGTCAGCAAACGGTCAGAAAGTGAGGACAGAGATCTACGTAATTACACCCAAATATATGCCTAAACACATCTCTAAATCATACCTCAACCCATCTACAGACCTGGAATTTCAGGTCTTCACACTGTTTGCCCCCATTTGACTTGAGAATTTTCACCACAAATATACATCACACCAGTTCCTGTCCTAATCAATTCTTCTGACCAACGATTAAACAAAGGAACAACCAAAAGACCTCACCAAAAAAAACTAAACAAAACCAAACTGTTAAAATAAACACAGTGCAAAACAAAATGGAAGGTGAGGGGGGGGCTGTGAACTAAAAACAAATAAGCAAATCACCAAAGTCCCATAAAGGCAATAGATTTTTTCCACAAAATGAGATGAACAAGAGAATACTGATTTAAAAACAAACAAAAACCAAAGAACTTATCAAGCTTTTTTTTTTTTTTTGAAGTAGAAACTAGAACAGTAAAAGCAGATCCAAAACCTGAGGGACATCTGCACTTCTAGGAAAAGTCAGCTTTGTAAGCACGGTTTGTTTCTTCTACTATACCACAACAGGAGGAACCAGCCAACAATTAATTCAAACCTCCACTAACTTTTGGAGGTTTTGCTACAGCCCTTGCTTTTCTTTCGGTTTGGCTCTGACCTTACGCCACCATTGGTGCCACCCCACAGGGCTCTGCAGGTGCGCCGTGCATGATGGCGCAGCTCTGGCACTGCATGGCTCCTCATCACCCTGCACCACTGCCCAACACACCTGCGTCACCTTCTGCTGGGACACGGGAGCTGGGAAACCACGAGGTCAAACCTGAAATTCTTACTCAGGTATTTTCCCTTTGAGTGTCTGCTCAGGCAAAACCTATTAATTACAGAAGAATTCAATGCAATAAGAAGCCCTGATTAGAGGCTTCATGTTCTTATCAGCAACAAACAGGGGGTGCAAAATTACCACAGGAGACTTTTTTAATAGATTTTTGTGTACTAACAGAAAAAGCATGCCACACAGAAAGCACCTAGCTGGCGGCTTCATATTCCTGCTGTCTATGGAGATACCGTACACAGTCCCTAGCCAAACAGCTGTTCAAGGCCCCAAACCAGAAAAATTTCCACCAAAATATATCCTTATCAAGAGAACACACCAGACTCAAACAGAAACAGACGGTTTCCAAACTGGTTTTCAGTGAGACATGCTGAAAATATACAGACATCAGCTGGTTACTTCCCCATAGCAGCCACAGGAAATGTGGTCCCACGGTGACCCTGCTGGCTGGGAGAAGGAAGTCAGGGTCTGATACAGAAGGGGACATAAACCTTGTACCCACAAATGGTCAGTGAGTGTTAAGCTGGACAGGTAGCATTTCTGATCTATTAGACACAAAAGCTCCTGAGGCACTCACGTGCACAGAAGGGGTGACACCTGTAACTATAAAGTTCATTTACTTTACTGGTAATGCACTAGCTCTTCTGTATGTAAAGCATGTGCTAACGTTCAAAATCTCCACGGTCTCAGACCGTCCAGCTTTAGAAGTATAGCTTACCAAAGAAGCTACTGACACATGCTAAATGCACACTCTGTGCACCTAATCCTGCTTTCCAATGGAAACAAAATTGTGTCTTTTTCTTTCATTTTTAGAGATGTACGACAGCATTTCTACAATCTTTGAATATTTAATGTCAAAGCCTTAAAAGAATTACCTTGTAGAATTCTAATTTGAACCTCTCTGCTCAGTTTAATGACAAATGCAGCATTTGGACTTTATCATATTGACAAATCAGCCCGATGCAGAAGCCCAGTGGAAAAATATTTATCCGGTATGCTTAAATACCACACATTTGATGTTTGAACCAGACACAATACAGAAATATTCTTGTTCCCTAACGGACGTTGTGCAGATGGTATTTCGAGAAATCTTGCTACGAGATGGTGAATGAACTGGTTGAAAAGGAATACATTGAAGTAAGATGGTCTTTGTGACATAAATGCACTCTGTACATTTAGGATAAGCCAAAATCAAACCAAAACAACCCCCAGACTGCTGAAGACCTGTAGGACTAAAACAGTGTGAAAATCTGCAAGGAGACCTTATGAATGGATGTAATTGGAATACTTTCAACATTTTTCATTGAAAAGCAAGTAACGAGTTTTATGAAGCCCTCCTTTTTCACCCCACTGGGTCCTTAAGAACAAGGAAAGTGAAATTTAGGCCAACAACCCATGGTAACTGCTATAGGATCATTTATGATAAAGAGAACTCGGATATCCAACTGATGTTTAAAGCCTGACTCACTGTATTTGAAAATTCTCCCCAGCCTACTTTACTGAGCCTATTGCAGTGCGGGGACCATTACTTCAATCAAGCGTTTCCAGATTACAATTCCATTATGCAATTTCTACTCACCATCTTTCGGATGGCTGCATTCGAATGGTTTGCTGCTGTAGATATGAGCTCCAGTGACTCTGCAATAAAGGTAGCAACAGTTACACATTCTCCAGATTATACCTCTTAATAGCACCTGGGTTTTTTTTTTTCAACTTCCTGATCAGTGCTTTCCTGCAAAATTGCTGTTGCAAAAGCAAAGACTGCATTTTTTCCTTCCATAAAGTAAAAGGAACGCTTATACGCAGTTATATACACAATCACTTCTGCATGTTCAGCTGGTCCATGCACATCTAAATGTTTCATCTTTCCCTCCTAAAAGTCTAGGGGAGTCAAGCACATAGTGACCAAAATATCACCTTCTAGGAATCAACCTACTAAAAGTTAACTGAAGTCTCAAAGTCTTCACAAGCATGCTTGTAAGAGTGTTTTCCTAAAAACAGGGCTTGGGTGCTTCCAGTAACATGAATCCTGTTTTGGTCAAGATCACAAACTCCTAGAAACCAACAGAACTCCATTTCTCCTGTTTTTTTTGTGTTAACAGAGTCTACCCTGCTTTCCTAGGCAAGCATATACATTTAAGACCATTCTTACTTTCTTCCTCCAGCTACTGCAAGGATGTCCTCCTACATTTGTCCTTGGCCATAGAACGGATTAAATAAAAATGCCAGATGTTCTACCATCACAAACATCAGTATTTTGTCATTGTTTGTTTGCCAAAGCTCCCTTCATTCCTAGAGCTGACATATCAACCCTTTTCTTCTCTAAGAGCATCCAAAATCCCTTTGTGCTATACTTGGCAATAATTTCATCAATTCAAATCTCCATTTCTACCATAGCCCTAGTTGAAAGTATCTGAATATGTGAAGAAAAAACTCTCCAAGATTGTGCTCATTAGATAGAGAGGAGTTCACATGTACTTTCAGCATCTTTCTTGTCTGGAGACTCTTCTGGAAGTTTCTTTAAATAGTCCTTTAGAAGAAGCTCATAACGAGGAATCCTTTGCACTGGTTCAAGCATGTGATGCTGTAACGTCAAGTTTCCACACACGTCCTGTTTCTGTAATGGACAGAAAACAAGCACAGAAGGGTTTGGTTTTGTTCCTGCCTCTGATGTTAAAGAGCAATGAAAAATCAGCATTCACATGCAGTTAAGAGGAGCGTAAAGCAATTTCTCAACCTATCATAGAATCATAGTCTCAATTAGGTTGGAAAAGACCCTTAACATCATCGAGCCCAACCATAGACCTAATAGTACTGCCAAGTCCATCACCAAACCATGTCACTAAGTGCTGCACCTACACATCTTTCAAATACCTCCAGGGA